CGTCATATAGAAAAATATTTTGGTATTTTTTACTAACTTGGTAAATAAAATTTGTGGCAATCTAGAAAACTGTAAAATCGACTTAACGCGTGACTTTTTGTTTTTATATACTCTAACCTAACTCTGACTGACAGGTGGATTTTTTAAATCTGTAGTATTTTCCGTCGAATCAAATAGCCAATGAACTTTTAAATTGTGACGTTTAACTGAATAATGATGATATTATTACAAACAATGAAAACTTTGAGAATGACAATCCTCCACTAGAAAACTTTGATGTAGAAAATGAAGGTCTTGATAATGATCAAAATAAAATTTTTGGCCTTGATCATTAAGAACCAAATATTTTGCGTGAAGAAAATGAACAACATGAGGTAAATTTAATTGTTATTTTCAGTGCTGCAAAAAATCTTGTTACATGAAATTGGCCTTTTTATTTGCAAACAACATTGTTAGTACGTACCAAAAGGATAAATCCAGTTGTTGGCAAGTAAAAAGTTAAATTCTTATATGCTTAAGCATACAATTGTATACTAATTTTTTTTTAGGATAGAATACCATTGTATGATGGTTGTCAATTAACGCGCGAAGAAAGTGAGCTCTTGATTCTCACTTTTGTAACTAGACATGGCTTGACTGATTTGGCTCTTGAAGACCTTAAGTTAATTAATTTTCACACTCCTACTGCAGTTTTTCAATCTAAGCATATGTTTTTAAAAAAATATTCTAGAAATATTATCACTGAAAAACATTTATTTTGTCCAACCTGTAATATTACATTACAAACTCATAATCAACAAAATATGTCAAGTTGTGAATCTTGTAGAGAGGAATCTGAAAATAAGATTTTGCAAAGAAATCATAATTACTTTTTAACAATGCCCTTAGCACCTCAAATCAAAGATATTGTGCAAAGTAAATTATTTTATTGCCTAAGAAAGGAATCAGAATTGGAAACCCATGTAATAAATAGTCAAGTTTATCGTTACTTTGTGGAGAGAAAAATTGTTTCACAAAATGACCTAACATTACTGATGGCGCCCAGGTGTTTAATTCTTCGAATAAAACTTTATGGCCTATATATGTTTCAATAAATGAACTACCATACAAAGAAAGGGCGCAAAATATTTTACTTGATGCGAGGTATTAATTATTAAAAGAAAAATTAATTAAAAATGTTTAATACCATATTACCATAGTGTAATAATACAGATTCTATGTTTTGGAAACATATTTAAATCTATTAAAATGTATTTTTTTATTACTAAAAGAAAATACATATAATTTTAACCAAAAATATTTATTTAAATTTGAATTACCTACGAAAATAACCGAAAAAATTTCATAAATTACTGGGAATTTTTATTTTTGTATTGATTTATTCTAAACCTTTTGTTAATATAAATACCTATATATTTAAAAAAAAAATTAGTTTGACTTTATAAATTCAAACTAATGTTTTTAAAAAGGCACAGAGGGTTCTAAACTCACCTGAAGTTTTTTATACTTATGTTAATCTTAAAAGTTTGTAGAAATTTAGTATTTTTCATATTTGTGTCTTACACTTTCAATAAATAAAATGTCTTAAAATGTTAAATTTTTTATTTAAATAAATACAACAAAGAATACTAATAAATTAAAAATATATATAAACAAATAAAATAAAATAATAAATAATAAAATAAATAAAACATAAAATAGGTACAAAATATACATACGGGGTCCTTCAGCCTGTTACACAATACTTAACACTTAAAATTAATTATCTTTTTCTACTCCCACCTTTAAGAGTTTATGTTTCAAATTAAAGTTGTAGTCAATGTCCAGAAAATGTTTAGAGCAAACAGTAGCACGCTTAACGTTAATTTTGTCTCTTCTTTTCGTGGCATGTAACCACTTTTTGCACAAACTTATGTTTTTCGGAAATCGATGGAATTTAATGTCTTTATTTGTAGGGTTTTTTTTTGGACTGGTTGTCGGAAATGCATCCAAATATGGCACACCGCATTTTAATAAATGCAAATGGCACAACACAAACTAATACACAAACAAAACAACGAAACACAAAAACAATAATTTTAGCACAAACAGAACATGTTGACCCAACGCAATAACAATAATTTAAACACTGAAAAGTAATTCTAACCTTACAGAACGCAAAAACAACAAGTTAAACAAAAAAACAGAGCAATTTAACATCTAACAGCTTCGCAAAAACCAGAATTTTAGCGGCAGATAATTAAAACGAACGTTAGAGATTTAAAACTACTCATCAAGTGACGTCATGTGACGTATTTTAGCTCCGCCCACAGCGGAGAGGGGTACTACGTTGTCATACCATAAATATCTCCCAAAATAATAAAACCATAAACACACATACACACTTCCAGACTCAATGTATTTCATTACCAAACCCGACACGATCACAACCAACCTTCATAATTCAAAACAAAATAATTAATCGATAGGGAAATAAAAATAACCTTCCGTACACGCGGCATCGGCGCATTTCAAATTCAAATAACATATAATAAATGGCATCAAATTGTATTTTGCCATTTCAACGTAGGCAACCAGGTATACATCTTAATTATTTGAATTCGCAATACTTAAAACAAAGCTAAATTAAATATAACTTATAGGCCTGTTTAACCGTCAAAATGGCGGGAATATTTAAAACATTGGTTACTTTTAGTATCAGGAATTCAAAGACTAATTAAAAATAAAGTTACTCAACATGATATTTCAAGAGCACGACTAGCTATAGAAAAATTTGTATCACAAATTGGCACCTTATATGACCGAACATTTTATACTTTTAATGTACACTTGCTTCTACATTTGTGTGATTCAGTTGAAAGATTTGGCCCTTTATGGGCAAATTCAGCATTTATGTTTGAAAGTTGTAACGGTGTTATGGTAAGTTTAGTGAAATCTTGTTCGGATTATGTTTTGGAACAAATTAGTAAATTGTATTTGCGTAGCCGAATTGCTGAAAAAGCCATCAAGCTGGTGAGATCTGGCAATTGTGTAGTACATGGTGGGGAGACCGGGCTTAAAACTTGGCTGTACGATCTTGTTTGAGTTATAGGTGCAGCTAAGACTGGCTGAGACTGAGTGGGCAACTGCGATGTTATAACTTGCGTAGGGGCTGCGGCTTTGATGTTGGGGTTCCTTGGACAGATCGGTGCATTGGCCGTATGGGGGCCGCCGCAGTTTGCGCATTTGGGAGTTTCGGTCTTAGGTTTCCTGCATTCCCAAGATGGATGCTCTCCAGCACATTTCACACAGCGTGGGAAAGCGGAGCATTTTGTCTGTGCATGGCCGTATTTTTGACATCTATAACATTGAGTGATGGTTCCTTTACGTTCGAGAGGCTCCACTTTGATTTTATGTTATGATGTTTATTGCCTTTGGGACACAAAAAGCTTTAATATACCTATAAATTGTATACCTTCAAAAATGTTTGTTTCTTAAATTTTCTTATTACCTGAACTTAAGAATAATTTTGTAGACTAAGGTCCTTCTGGGATTGCTTGGTTTGAAAATACTATTTCTAATTTAATTTGCATAAATATTTTTATTGACGCTTAATTAATGTAGAATATTTTTGATTTTAATTTTATTGGTTTTACCCCAAAAAATACAAACATTGGTATAAAAAAACAAAAAGAAAACAAATGTTTGCATAAATAACCATTTCTTTATAATATTTATATAAATATAACAATGTGTAAAAAATAATTCCTTTAAGCAGGTTATAGAACTTGGCCATAATAAAACATATTGTCGATATCACATTAAAAACTAAATTGAATTTTTTTTTATTTATATTATTTTTAAGTGAAATTTGTATTAGTGTATTTTTTATGTTTTAGTTTTTAATTATATGGGTCATTCCAATGAACTTGTGCAATTTTGAGGAATCCAATTTGGAAAAAAAAATACTAATTTTGGATCAAACTAGATGTTGTTTACTTTTCTAATAGGAAGTACTACTCCTATAAAAATATAGCTATGCTTAACTTCTTCTATTTTCTATAAAATTTAAAAAACTAAAAATATGAAGTTAACAGAAGTGAGGTGTTGATTAACGGAGGTGAAATGTTACTAAAAATACAATAAATGTTACAATAAAAATATTTATTTTGTAATTTTTAAAGCTAAAAATATTGCAACTTAATAGTACCTAATAATAGGTACCTATGTGTAACACATTTTTGGAAAAAAAATCGTAATTCTTCAAATTGGAATAAAAAAATAAAAATAATAATGTAAGTTAATTAAAGTAAGTATTTTTAAACTACATGAATACAAACTATATAAATGTAGGTAGATTTTAGTTCTACCTTTTATAGTATTTTAAGGTCATGTGGTAGGTTTTTAAACAAATAGTGCTGTCTATTGTTAACTCTTGGCATAGGTAGAACAAACAAAATTTCGTTTTTCATGACAACAGAAACATCTTCCTTGTCAGGAAAAATAAACTTATTTTTACCACACTTCCTTAAAAACTTTACTGTGTACTCTTCTTCTATGTAATGAACCTCAACAATTACACCAATCAAGTTTTTTACAGTCTTTTTTCCTTTTAATTGAACAACAACATAATCGTTTTTATTTGGATTTGAATCTTTTGACTTTTGGTTATTTTCTTCTTCACTATCAGAGTACACATCTCCATATGTCAAACGTCCATTTCCTGGAACCGAAGGATTTTTTTTCTGAACACTTGGATCTACAAAAACTGTTAAGGAAAACAAGATGAGAAAATTTTAGGCGCCCTGGGAATTCGAATCCACGACCTCTTACATATAGTTGAGCTGTATATTATACACTTGATTATTTCATTTAAAAAAAATATGAAAGTATATTTCTAAATAAGGATAAAGTAAGTTTTGGCGTATAAAAAACATATACAAAACCCTATGCAACTTAATTTATAATAAAAGGATACTCGAAATCATTGAGTTTGGATATAAATTTTTTTCAAAAGTTACTTCAACTGGTAATGGTAATTGAATCAAGCCCAATGGAAAATGGCTACAAGTAGTAGACTCATTGCATTTCAAGCAGCAAAGTTTTCTTGCCTGGAGAACATTTTGCGCTCCTTCAGACCATGTAAGCTCTCGGATAGCCATTGTCCCTTTAAAAGGCTTTAGGCTTAAAGGTAGAGTTTCGTCGATATCTTGTATTCTGCTACTTTCAATTGTTAGACACTTTATACCTTTACAGTGTTTTTTTAGGTTTAAAATAAGAACCTCAAAATTTGGAATGTCTATGCCTTGGCTGACCAAATTGTCAGCTGTTCTTTTTAAACAGCCACCTACGCCGTCAGGTGCCCCCTTACCATGGCCAGGTTCGCTAAATATCCAACGTAACCTTTGAACACCCAGTTTTTTGGCAAGAAAGTTAACCATTAATAAAAACATCTTTTTATTTTTATATTGCGTTGATGGTCCATCGGATAGGAAAAAGGCAGTTCTTAACTTCGGAACTATTTCAAGAGCCTCTTTAATTACTGGTTCTAGATGGGCGCAAATTGCCGCAGGGTCATGGCGCATATTATCCGAAAAAGTGCACAAAGACATTGGTTTGACTAATTCTTCGCCATTTGTGTTAGTCGATAAATAGTACATCACTACTGTATGTAAAGTGACCTGTGGCTTTGAGCCTCCAAAATGGGCTGATTGTATTTCTTTAGCATATTTACAATTGTAATTCTCAGAAAAATCAATGTGAAAAAGTGCTTCATTAAGAGTCAGGCTTTTTTTAATTGTATCTACAGAGCTGTACTGATGCGAAATGTTTCTTAAATGTACCATAAATCTTGTTAACGATTTTTTTAAGTGATCCACCATTTCTTGTTTCGAACATTCAACTGGTTCTTTAACTGTTTTCTGACACATTTTCTTTTTACCTTTTATCTCTATTTCCACCTTCTTTGAGTACCATTTTTCATAACTTACTATATCGTTGTTTTCATATTTATTAATCCTAATGGATTTGCTTTGACAGATCGGACATGACCTGTTAATGCAGTCATCATTTTTTTTGTCACAACAGATTTGTCTTGATAGTTCTTCTGGATCTTTAGTTTCTATTAGGTCGTATGTTTTTGCCTTAGCCGTTAATAGTGTCATATTATCGTGCAGCATACACAAACACGTATCTCGAAGCCTGGCATTTGGTTTTAAAACCCAAAATGGTCTAAAATTGCAAAATGTTTGGTAGCTGATTTTTATTAGCGGGTGGAACTTCTTAAATTGTATATAAGTGCTAAAAAGTGTACCGTTTAGGTACCTTTTTTGTTTTTTAACCTTATGAAAAGTAACGGTGTCCTTTTTGCCAGGACATAGGCGGCTTATTAAATCTTTCTCAAAAAAATTTTTCACAGCTTGTTTTACTTTTTGGGCAACATTTTGCCTTTTTTTAGACAAATCATTGTTTTTGCCATTTTTAAGGAGCAGTCTTCTAGACGTAGATGAACCCAACAAACACTTAAACCTATATTTCTTGATAATGTCGCCTGAAATGGTTGATGTAAAACTCCGTTTATCCAAATGACTTTTATTTTGTTTAAAATTAGATTTCAGTTGCTGTTGGATGGCTTCAGAAAATACTAAACTTCGCTTAACTTCTGGTGTGACCTGCTGACCTTTTAACATATTAGTAACTTTTTTATTTGGTGAATCAGGCTGTTTCTTTTTTATTCTTTGTACCTTTTTTTTGTATTTGGCAAGTTTTCTATCTTTTTCAAGTAGTCGTTCTCTTAGAAATTTGATTTCTTTTTTAAGCGATTCTCTATTACGTCTCTGTATAAGTTTGCCTTGAATAGCTTGTCTGGACAAGTTTTCTTGAGATCCAGCCGGTATGGGAATTATGGGTTGAAACATAATAGGAGATGCAGGTGGCGTGTTTTCTCGAAGATCTCTTTCCAGTTGTTGATCTCCTTTTTTTTTATCATATGACTTTTTACTCCGTGCTCTCCACTCTTTTCTCGTTTTTCTCTTTTCTCTGGTACTCATTTGGTCTATTTTTTTAATCTTTCCTGTTACCTTTCTAGCTAAATACCGCTCTTTTTCTTTCCTTTTTGATTCCTCATACAAAACTGGATCGTTTTTAATTTTTTCACGCAGCCTTCTCATACTTTCCCTAGAATGTTCTCGTTGCAATTGCCGAGATCTATCCGTTTCGACCTTATTCTTCTTCGTAGATGTCTTGGCCATTATAACTTAATAGCATATATAAAATGTATTTATCTACTCCCCTGTAAAAAAAAAACTAGGTCAATAAGAGGCTTTTAAAGTGAATTCTCACAACCGTTAACTGACCCTCACACCCGTTAATGAAAGTTATTAACGGATGTGAGATTAACGGTTGTGAGAATTCCATTTAAATATCCCGCTTTTTTGTCACACTTCAAATATTACAGACCCTAACCTATAAGTACGCGAAACATTTCAACAAAACAAATATTAACTATCAATTTAATTACTAATAATTATGAACTTACCTTGATTATATCTCTTAACAGTAGTGAGTTTTAAGCTTTACCAGGTGGAATTTATTTTACAAACATGCTTAAAACGAAAAAAATTACTGGATAAAACTTCTAAAAACCACACAACACCACTGTGCCTTCGATAACAAATAAACTAGTTTTTTAAAAGTGGTAAAGCGCCACCTGTATTTCCATTTTGTAAATTTTAAACTGTTTTAACGGTAGTGAGAATACATAGGGAAGACAATGATATTTATCGGTTTTTAGAACAACCGCTTTTAGTAAACGACTTATCACTTGTAAACAAATAAAGCACAAATAAAGCACAAATCAATGTTATTAAGATTACTAATAAACTAATTTTTTAACAATTACTGTTTAGTCAGAAATAATATTCATCAGGCCTTTACTTGGCCTTTACTTGGGACAGTTAACGAACGTGAGATTTCACGTATAGTTAAGCGAATAAAAACTATTTAAATTAAAAATAAAAAAATAATAAGTTTACAATCCTTTTAAAAATAACGTATACTTTAAAAACATAAAATAAACAAAAAAATTTAAAAAGTAAAATTCGAGATTTTAGGCCGAGACTTCAAATTGCACAAATTCGTCGGAACAACCCATATACGTATATTTTAGGTAAAATTTTTGTACAATTTATATTATTATTATATTAATTATATTTTCTAGGTGAAATTATATTATTAAGTTAATTTTGTATATTCTAGATTGTTATTAAATTTTTTTTTTTAAATGTTTTGTTTATTTGTAATAAATTTATTTAAAAATTTACTTACCTTTTTATCTTATACACATACCTATCATAGAAGCTAAATAAAAATGATGAGGTGAGTATTAAAAGGATATAATCAAACAAGTTTTTTTCAAACTGAAATACTTTATTTTTTTAATATAATTTATTTATTATAATTTTTTATATAATTAAATTTAAATTATTTACATTATTAACAGCTACCTAATTAAATATAAAATCGATTACGTACTACCTATTACCTAATTAAATATAAAATCTATTACAATCTAAAGTTTCATTTTACCTTACGTCCTATATTATTATATATAAAATAATCATTTTTTAATATAAGTTTTTATTATAATTTTTATATAATTACATTTAAATTATTTACATTATTAATAGCTACCCAATTAAATATAAAATCTATTACCTATTACCTAATTAAATATAAAATCTATTACTATCTAAAGTTTCATTTAACTTACGTCCTATATTATTATATATAAAATAATCGAATTTATATACCAATTCAAGACAAATCATATGTTTATGTTGTAAAAATGTCTATCATCACGGAGATCTCAACGATTATGTCACCTAAGATTGAATTAAACGTTTGCGCTAGACATAATTCTTCATATTCTTCGACAATATTACTGTGGAAGGATTTTAACTTCAATAGATTATCCAGAGTTGATTTTTGGAAAATATCATAATTTCCAGATGATTTTCCTGTTATTTTTACATTATTGGCCGGCATCGTTTTTATCACGTAGTTGGAAACCTCTAACTCATCTCCATTATTGGTATTTTGAACAACCCTGGGTAAAATACCTATAAACTCCTTAAATTCGTTGCTGCTGAAACTGAGGGCGTTGTATTCCTTGCCAGTTTACATAGTTTTACACATATAGAAAAATTACTATACGGATTCACCCCCACTATGTAATAACGACTGTTTAATAACGTTAATGGGATTCGGACCTCTTTTAAAAGGTTATTTTTCTCATAATCCAATATTAATAATAATAATAAAGTTTATTAGTTCAAAAAATTGTATATACAATGTAGAACACGTCACAAAAAATACATTAATAACAATTTAGATACCTAAATGCAAGAAACTAAATAAATTACAATAAAAAGTAGGCCACGTACACACATATGCTATATATACATCTTTATTACATAAAAAATTCGTCAACACTATAATCACACTTATTTACAAGATATGCCTTTAGGGCAGGCTTCATTTTTTTTAGATTAAGGGATTTTAAATTTTCCGGTAATTTATTAAATTTTTTTAAAGCAAAATTTTGTATAAGTACCCTTGTAGATAGTGTGAGTTTTAGTTTGTTGAGTTAACACTAAGCTTTTATATCTTGTATGGTGGCTATGCTTTCGATCATTTTCTGCAAACAGTGCAAAATGCTTTTTATAAAATAAGATAACTTAAAAAATATAAATATCTAGTAAAGTTAACAATTTATTATTAATAAATGTAGACCTACACGATTCAGTATAATTTAATTTAAAAATACACCTTAAACATTTCTTTCATATTTTAGGTTAGAATAAATATAACCATAGTAAACACTTAATAAAACTTATTTTTGTACAATAAACTTTAAATTTTGAAGTAAATAATGGTATTTATTATCTTTTTTAAAACATGTTCTGTATGATATTTCCACGAAAATTTACTATCCAAGACGAGACCCAAGAATTTAACTGATTCGCAAAATTCAAATTTCGTTAAAACAGGGAATTTTTAGTTTACGTGTTTCAAGGACACCACCTTATATGTTTTATCATTGCATGAGTAGAATTTTTTTTGTATAAATTTTTACATTTTATTTTGTTGTTTTCTTTGGTCTTCCACTTCTTTGTCTTTCTTATACCGATTCAGTCTCCAAAAATCTAGAGTAAAGTCTAGAAATTACACTTTTCGACACATTGAAATGATTCGCTACATATGCCTGAGTTTGACCTCCTTCTATCATACCAACAGCCATATTTTGTTGAGCTATGGTTAACTTCCTTCTCTCCATGACTTTATTAAATTTCTTCAATTTTATCCTTTAGATGTCGATTTTTAGTTAGTTAACTATCACGGTACGAAAACGAAATGTGCATTATTTTTTAAAATCGAGGAAAGTAACAAAAAATCTTACAAAAACTGCCTTTGTGTTTTTATATAATTAATCAAAATACTGCATTTATTTACATACATAAATTTCAGAACATTAAATACGAGGGTTGGTCGAAAAAATCAGAGTTCCCTAACTTTTGAAGAGCAGTTTATTAACATATACATATGCATATATAACTACACTGTAGATTTTTTGTTTTAAAAAATAATGGAAATAACAGTGAATAATTATAAAAGGTAATTATTAAAAATGTAATTGTAATCCGGTACTGCAATAAACCTAGTTCTCCACAAAGTTTTTCCTTTTGCAATGCATCCTGGTCACGGCACCAAAAATGTAAAGATTTCTCTTTACCCCCAGGTTTGTTTAAAACAAGTTTTATGAAAAATTGATAAATTAAATATTTCGTGGCTTTGGCTCGTGATCGTCTTACCCAAATTTGGACCTCTACGCTGTGTTTACTTACTGGTTTTATTAGATGCATTGCTTTAAGAATGATACGTGGGAGAAATAGGTTTATAAGAAATAAAATACAGTGGCTTAATTTACCCCAATTTAATTTACGTTAACTTTTTACAAACAAGCAAGGGGTGGCTCTTAGGTGGGTTCGGCCAGGGAAAAAGAGCCTGAGAAAAAACCCTGGTCGGCTATGAAGTAGCAAAGGAATACGCGGTCAGGCATTGTACTTTAAAAATTACGCAAATTAATGTATTGGCGATATGGCTCTATACTGCATTTAAACAAAGATTTAAAACTGAAGAATATTGGGGTTAGTTAGCCGAGCTAGGCCCAGAATGTAACGGGGTCCACAAAAAGGAGGCAACCCGCCTATTTTTGTTGAAGGGTCGGGGAAAAGCGATGCAACCCTAGATAACCTAGGGCAACCTGTTTCCCCTCACGGGATAAAAATATTAGTTCATACAACAAAGGCCCACGCACACAAACAAAGAGTAATCAAAGTTGGACAATAACGGTCAGCACTCCTGGTTAAGCACCGAGTAATTTCGCAATACATCAATAAATTTGGACTGATCATAAAACAATGCTTAACCACGTTATAGAAAAGGGTACAAAATGATGGGTTAAGCACAAACAAAATACAAGGTTACATTTAAGCGGTACAAGCATTGAGCATAGCAAATTATTAAAATTATAGTGATAATAAAAAAGCAAGAGGTGCTATTAGCTAAAAGAAAAGGGTTAAAAATAACGTAAAATACAGTTAAACGTAATAGTAAAGGATAAATATACTCATAATAGCAATAATCATATAATAATAATATTAACAATTTAAAAATGCACAATATTACGTTTAGTTAATTTTACTACACATTTGAATAGATTAAATATTTAGAACTAACCTTGTAGAATACACTAACGACACTTTTAACAATGATTTTAAAACAATAATTTGCTTTTACAATTTTACCAAAGAAAACGAACTGTACTGAACCAAATTCAAAATGCTTCTCCCTCATTTCTCCTTTTTAAAAACCTTCTTCGTTTACCTCTCGTGGAAATTCCTCGCCCAATGTGTATGCCACATGTATCCCTTTTCAAGCTTAGAGCATACCTCTCTTGTTTGCTTGCAAATTTTCTACCTAAATTTGAAATTTTACTAATATACCCACCAACACTGACAGACAGACTGTTTCGACCTGTTTGGTCTCATCAGTGTCAGGCAGTCGGTGACGGGAGACTCGCATCAAGCTCGGATTGTTCACTTATAAAGATATAAATTACCAAGACAGCGGCGAGATGCATCGGCAAGTCAGTCTGCAAACAACATTGCAAAAATTATCTTAATGCAAT